CAGCAATGGTTTTGTTCTTCTTTAGCAGTGCAGATTCCAAGTCAGGTAAACAAATTTTTATGGGATCCCAGGTAATCTTTCCTCTTTGTCATAGAGAGGATAGGTACTTTTTCCTTATGTCTGGTTTAAATTTATCCTTCATAGCTTGATCCCTTGATTGAGTAATAAGGCAACTTTCCTGCATTCTACTACTGCCTCTCCTTCTGGGGAAGTTGGCACTGGAATTTGGGAGTGTTTTGGTTTCCACATTGTTCACAGACTTGTAATATGACCATAAATAAATAATGTAAGCACTTGTTGATTCATTTTTATTTTTATTACCCCCTAGTCCATAAAACGTGCCTAGTATTGTGAGGCTGTGGAAATCTTCACATGAGAATCTCGGTGTGCCCAGGGAACAGATCCCTCTAGCAGTGTTCTGCCTCAGACATGGGTATCTTGGGGATCATATAAGAACACAGAAAACAGAGTAATGCTGACTTAGGTGTAGTTTGCCTCCATTTTCTTGGACAGGAGACTGCCTTGAAGCAGGGACTTCCTGACTACCTGTTTTCTAAAGCCCCTGGTGACTTCCCTGTCTCACCCCAAGAACTTGAGTACTGGTCTTTTCTGTTCACACAGACTTTATCACCAGCCCTGTCTTACAGCATGTCACTCCACAGGGTAGCCACAGAAGTAGAAGCACTTTCTTTTGTTTTGGACATGCTGCTTAGTTTCATTTTGTGCTCACCATCTCTTTTGGTGTAAGAGGCCTGGAGCTAAACACTTCCTCTTGTTTTTATAGCTGTGTCACTTTGCACCTCAGCTTCTGTCTTAAACAATTTTTTCTTGTACAAAATCCATTCTATATCTCTAATCATCCTACTTAGCCTTGTCAGTACCTTCTGTAGATCTGCTCTATCCTTTTTTGTTTCTTTTTTTTATGAGAGTAGACAAGCACCACACGTGTCCTGGTGTGAATGCACCATGCACACAGTGGTACACCCTGTTTTTGCAGGCTGATTGTTTGGTTAAACAAACTGATTGTAGACATTCCAATAGCAGTGTAGCACGTTGTACACACTCTCCAGCAGCTTAGAGTTAATTGCTGCTAGCAAGTGCTGTGAACTTACAGGCCGGGTTCCTCTTGGCAGGAGTTGAAAGTGAATCGTGGTGTTACAAAGAACGTTCAAGCCCCGTGTTTAAAAGGCATCCTTCCACTTACATGGGTGAGTGTATTGCAGACACTGCCTTTAGCCCTCATCTTTCTGGCCTTCCTGCCAAAGAAGGGTTAAGTCTGAAATGGAAAACATGCTGCAGAGGTCTGGTGTGATTCAGCACGTGGCTGTAGTCTGATTCTAAAGCTGAGTTCTCAGCGTGGTATTTAGAGAACTGTGGCTCAGTGGCTGCCTGCAGTCACTGTTTCAAGTTGAGATGCTGAATTCTCAGCGGATATCAAAGATCTCTGGCACTTGGGGCATTAACCATGGTACTGTGGGATTAAGACCGGGTAACTGCAGCTGGGTTGCTTCCATGCTCTGTGTGTCTTTCAGTGGTGTGAAACACTTGCTTCCTCTCCAAAATGTTCTCTTCCATAACAAGCAATCTTAACCCAAATTAGGTTGGATTGATTGTAAGCTAGGTTTGCCAGCATGGACAGTGAGCATGGATCACAGCAGTGTGGTAGGATGTCAGAGCAGGGTGAAATTGCGGATCTAGCTGTGCTTTTCTCAGTGAAAGGTTACAGCATCAACATGGATCAAGTTATGGCCAAGCATTGATGCCCTGTTAATATCCAACAAATCATTATTACTGTCCTTGCAGTTGATTTTTGTAGCACAAACAGGTGTTTGTAGGGAAAACTCCTTGTTTCATAATACTTTTAAAGGGGGTGTGAGTGCATGCAAGCATCCCTGGCCAGCCCCTGGCTTTGGGTGGTGAGGAGAATTCCAGGAACTCCAGGAAACTGATGTCACTGCATTGTGTTTGCTTGTTTTCTTTTGACTGCACTAATGTTTAATTTTAACTTAACCCTCAGAGGAGTATTTTTAGTAAAACTGTTTCTTCACTCCTTCTGTCCGATGCTGGGAGGGGAACAGATTGTGTCTCCTTGTTTTTTCCAGTAGTCAGCTCTTTCTGCCTCCCCTCTGAAGAGCTGTGATGATTGACTGAGAGCTTGAACACTCAGCAGCATGTGTTACCCTGGCTGTGCATGGAGTGCCTAAATGCTGGTGATTGTTCTGTCCCCACATCTCTTGGTTTGATCATTGATCCAGGCTGAAAGGAAGCAGATCTACCTGGACAAAAGTGCTTCATTCTGATAAAAGATAATATCTCTTCCAAATCTTTGGCCTGTGGCTGTCCCAAGGGGCAGCTGGCTTTTCTACAAGTTATTAACACTTTAGTTTGGAGGGGCTCTGTCAACACTCCAGAGAATCACAGTCCTGCAAGGGATGGTTTCTCCCATTGATTTTTTGTTTGTTTGTTTTTTTTAAGCAAGAGATTGTTCTTAAAATTCAGAAGGTAGAGCTGGAGAGACAAAAACTGAGCTGCTTGCTCTGCTGATCTAGAATAAAGGAATAAATTCTTTTATCTATTTTTATTTATGTATTTATTAAAAAGGAAAAGAAAAAGCAAGAAATACAGCTCTGCAGAGCATGGATTTATTGGAGAACTTTTCTCTCTTCCATATCTTTGTCCTGAGTTTTGGCTTCTGTCTCTGTGGTTTGCTGTTTCTGTATTTCTGCAGACAAATAACAAAATGAGAAAACTCTGTTTCATCCTATTCCATTTCTAGCCTGTGTGTTACAATAATTGCTCGGGTGCCAAACACAAAAAGAATCGCTGTGTTTTTGGTTTGTCATTGTTTCATGTAGGGAAATGGCTTTCAGCTGTAATTATCTGCACATTATAAGAAGTGTGTATATGAAGAAGCTATTGAAAAATGACAGCAGAATAATTAAATTCACACCAACTCCTCATGTGAATACTAAGACATCAAGAGTGTCTTCTGTGGTTTAGTATTACCCACTTCCAAAGCTTGGAGTAGCAAATTTTCATTCATTTTCCTGCACAAATAGGTCTCTGCTCTTTGAAAGGCTGGGTAAGAAATGCCTTTATCGCTGGCAAAGGGAGATCTGTTAGTATGGGCTCATCCACATTTTATATCTTGCACCAGCTGAAAGCTTTACCTTGTGCTGTGCTCCTGAACAGCATCACCCATGAATGCCCAGGACTATTGGTGGGCACTGAAGGGGTTACCAGGTGCTGTACAAAGCTGGTATATGGGACAGGGGTGAGCTTGGTTTCCCTGTTGGAAGGGTTTGTTGTGGCTGGATATTTGTGCTGCCTTTCCTCTGCCTTCCAGCTCCCCCCCCTCCCCATTCTGTAATTCACTTTTAAAAGAAACCAGTCTGGGTTGTGCTGAGCTCAGCACTGCAGCCATTTGCAGAGACACCACAAGGAGTAGCAGCACTTCTCAGTTTACAGGCTGGACTGTGGTAGGAAATGGTCATTCCTTACACTGACAAATTGCTTCTGCACCCAAGGTATTGCCCACTGAGCAAACAAGGGTTGTCTCACTGCTTCCTCTCCATCCCTGTGTGCATGTGGGGGAAGCTATCCAGACAGTCACCTTTTGAGGAAGGCACCAATGTTCTGTGTTTTTTCATGCAGCATTTGGTGCAGTGCTCTGATGAGTGTCAGCATTTGTTTGTCAGTTTGTGTGTCAGTTATTGGGCATTTCACCAGTAAGAGGATTGTTTATGCCAGTTTTACTGAAATCTAGTTCCAGCTGTGAGCTTCAATTTGCATCTTTTCATACAATTTGAACTGCTTGTTTTGCTATGTAAATCTTCTGTGTATTGGTTTGCTTTCTTGTTTACTGTTTCTCTGCTCCTAGAAGACATTTGTAATCCTGGGATTTGGCTGTGCATCCTGCTGTTCTGGCACCGAATCCCTCAATTCTGGACAGCCCAGGACAAGGGAGAGACAGAAAAAGGGAATTTCAGCTTCCCAGACTCATCCCTCTCTTCCCATCCTTCCAGGCCAGGTTGGATGTGGCTTGGAAAAACCTGGTCCAGTGGAAGATGTCCCTGCCCACAGCAGGGGGTTGGAACAAGGTGATCTTTAAGGTCTCTTCCAATCCAAACCATTCTTTAATTCTTCCAACCCTACAAATCAAGGACATGTAATCATTAGACAAGCCTCTAATTAGTTCTCATCTTGTAGCACTCATTTCTGTGTGCCTGAGTGATTGTTGCAAATTTTAGCCCCCTTTTATGTGTTTGTAGCGTTTTATCACCTTTCACAGCCTGTAGTGCTCAGCCACCGTTCCTGTAATGCCATCTTGTGGTGGCCCTGCCACTCTGAGTGTGCCTTTTCCAGCCAAAACTGATGTTGGGCTGTCTTTGTGTGTAGGCAGTGAGTGCAGCTCCCCTTTGCTGGCTACATGAGTGTGGGGTGAATCAAGGAAACGCCTGTCTCCAGCTGTGTGGTGTCAGGGTATGGTCTTGTGAAGCTCAGATTTGATGTTGGAGGCTTCCATGGCAGATCCCTGCTCTGGGTTCTTTAGCTCTGATGCTGTAGAACTGTCTGTTAGAAGGATTGATTAAATATGATCTGTGTTTCAAGGAGATTTCTGTGTTGTTCCATAATAACAAACTATTCATTTACTTAAATATTCATCCCTGATACTCTCTGTGTTGTTTGCAGTTTTAAGTGCTTCTCTAAACACAAAGGAGTTATTTAATACTTTGAAACACTGCTCTGTTGTGATTGCAGGAAGTGTATATATGGCAGGGAGTGTCAGGATTTTGTAGAAATTCCAGTTTTATCTCTGGTGGTTTTTTTTCTCAGTCTGTCTGGGCTTTGGATAAGCCACTGGGGTAAAACTAAGGCCATTGCATCTGGTTCTCCATGGCCAGAGAGCTTTACTGTACCTTCGAGAGTAAGAACTGCGTGCCTTGGTAATAAATGAAGTAACAACTATATTTCTTTTTTTTCTTTTTTTGCCTCTCCAGTGTTCCCAACTCTTGCCCAGCCAGTCCACGTGGTGCTGGATCCTCAGGATATCGTTTTGTTCACAACATTACCTCGGATCTGCAGCTGGCAGCAGAGTATGCAGCAAAGGCAGCATCAGAGCAGCAGGCAGATGCATCTGGCGGGGACAGCCCAAAGGTTCACACAAGCATTATTTACCCAGCAGTGCTCCTTGGGAGGATTATTAAAACCTGGGGCTTTATTGCTAGTCCTGGTTAGAGTTAAAAGGGGTTTAAGAACACCCTGGTCATAAGGGTGCTGTGTACAGTATCCTCCAGGGGTTTGAGGTCATTCCTTCAGATTGTCCTTGGCTTTGTGGTAGTCTCTGCTTGCTTAGCTGCGCAAAATATATTCAAATCACTCACTAAAGTGTTTAAACAAGAATAATTGTTTTACTTATTTGATAAATCAAGATCCCATAAAGAGGAGGCGCATAAAATTCAACATCTCATTTTGTTCTTTAATTAATGGTATTTTGCAAAACACAGTTGGAGAAAGCAGAAGCAGGGGAAGAAACCCAGATCCTTGTCATGAGAAGTCTGTAGTCAGACTTTGAAAGAAACATGAAGGCCTGTCAAGTAGGCGTTAAACGAGGAGAGTAGCAAGTGGAATTTAGATTTAAAAATAACTTAGAATGATAAAATGTAATTTTGGTGAGCTGATCTTCAGATCAAAGTTAAAAGTTCCATACCCAAAACCACCTGATTTGGGATTGGGTGGAGGAGCACACTACTAGATGGGTTTTTTTGGTAGACTTAATTCTCCCTTGAGACAAGAAGGGTTGTTCTTGATGAAGTAATGCAAAGAGTTGGAAATACGAGATCTAGCAAGCAAATTAAAGTTCCTAGAATGAAACAAATCCTGCTGGAGAAGGGAAGGAGTGGCATCAGGTTTCATGTTGGACTTGTTGCTGGGAGGAGGGCTGATAACATACTGCCTGAAACCTTTCTAACAGAGTGGAGCTGTAGCTGGGCAGAACTGAGGGCTTTAATTCATGAACACAGAAAGCATTGAGTGTACCTGTACTCTAGATTCCAATTGCCTGTCTTGACCCCTTTCCTTGTGCTGGTGTAAGCATGTGTGGGAAATTTGGTGGGGAAAGGAATCAGACTGAAGTTGGGGTTTATGTGTGTTCATGGGGAGATGGAAGGAGGTACTTTCATCTGACTCAGCCCTGTAGCTCTGTTTGCACACAACTGCTTGTGCTAAATGGGGTGGTGGCAGCATAAAACAGCAGTGGGAGAGCTGATGTTGTCTTTGCCCTGCTGCTCTCTTGGCATCAGTGAAAATTACAGCCCAATGTGCTTTTTAAGTTTGTGTTGTGGTACGCTGCAGTGTAAGAATTCTTTGTTAGTGACTAAATTTTTGTTTGGTTTTTTCCTTGCTTAGGATGAATCCAAGCCACCCTATTCTTATGCTCAGCTAATTGTGCAGGCTATATCTTCAGCACAGGACAGGCAATTAACACTAAGTGGGATCTATGCCCACATTACCAAGCATTATCCGTATTACAGGACTGCTGACAAAGGCTGGCAGGTGAGTTCTTGACACTGACAAGCTTTTAAACTACTTTGACATGGCTTATCTGCTTTGAAATGCATTTATTAAAGATTTGGGGCACTGGGAATAGAGCTGCTTTGACTGTTCCCAGAGTGAATTTGTTTAACACAAGCTGACTAGTTCGTTTGTGGGTGATTAGTTGGGGTTTTTTGAATACTTTGTAGGGCAATGTAGTGTGTTACTGTTGGGCTCTCTGGTTCCTCTTTTAATGCTGTATTCCTGTGTCTTTCATTTTGTATTTGGTTTCCCTACATCCTTGCTTGTCACTCCTCTGGCCAGATACTTGCTTAATCCTTCACCTCATCTTTGGCCTGATTTCTCCAAGCAGAGGATATCCAACCTAAAACTGAGGCTCCAGTTTTTAATTATAGCACCTTAAATCATTACAGATGTTTTGTTTTCCCAATGTATCAGCTGCATTGCCTAAGTCACAGTTTGCAAGTTCTGAATTTGAGTGGGAACTTGGGAAACTAGGAGTCCATGCACTCCTTGTGGTACTCGGGGAAATCTGAGCAACTTCAGAGGAGAGCTTGGATGCAGTTAGCACATGCTAAGTCAAACTTCAATGTTCACTTGAGGGCTGCTTCCAAAGTGTCAGGAGCCTCAACTCCACCTGCTTTCAGACTTTTTCTTGGCATCACACCTCTGCCATGGGTGTTGGCATTTGAATGTAATACACTATTACAGCTGCAAAGGCTCTCGCAGCTGCTGATTTCACTCTGTGCAACTGGCAGGAGCAGAACTGCTTGGTGCACTTTGAGTGCAGTTGGAATAAATACATTTCTGCCTCCCTGGCTTTTCCCTGCAGTTCTAATTAATTGTGGAATTCACTTCCTGCCCTAACCTGCTCTGCAGAGTTGTGCTTTGTGAACCAGTTGCTGCATCCTGCTTCAGAGAGCTGCATTTCAGTAGGGAGTGAAGTGGCCTTTTTCTCTCCCCTCCAGTGGCATTGTAAGGCTTCACCAGGGAAGAGATTGTCTAAACCTGCTAGAAAAGATTTATTTTTGTTTTGAAAGTGGAAGAGGGATGAGTTTATGCACACAGGGGCTTGCTGAGCCCTTCCCCAGCCCCAAAAGGCAGCGCTACACCCTGTCAGAGGTGGCCTGTTGCAGTGGAAAGGATAAACAGTCTTGTCATCATCTAGAGAGCTACAGAGTGCCACAGAGCTCATGGATTCCTCCCAGAGCTGGCTGAGGGCATGTTGGCTGCCTTGCATTGTGATTACTGTGAGATGCAGTGTCCTCTAGGGCATGTTTGGGCACCCTGGTAATCGTTTGGCAGGTGAGCAGTTAGCACAGGCTCAGACAACTTTTTCCACTTGCCGAGAATAAAGCCTGTCTTTTGAGAGAGTTCTGATGTGGTTTACAGTGATTTCCCCCTGCCTCAGCAAAAGCTCTGCTTTCATGGCTTTCCACAGAGAAGTCACTGATCTGACTGGCTCCAGATGTATTTAAGTAATGGTTAGCACCAAGCAAACCCATCTTTCAGCTTGGTTAGGAGAAACTCTGACACTTTCTCCCAGGTTTTCTCCTGCTGTTCCCCTGTGACTTTGGAGCCGTGTGAGTTGAGTGACTTGTTTCTACCTTCAACACTGATTCTGGCAGCGTGGATTTATTTTTCCAAGCTGTGTGGTGCAACCCATTTGTCTTTGTTACATACTTCTACATGGCAAAATAATCACCTCATTCCTCTGCTTCCTGCAGAATTCCATTCGGCACAACCTCTCCTTGAACCGTTACTTTATTAAAGTCCCACGCTCCCAAGAAGAGCCTGGAAAGGGCTCCTTTTGGCGAATTGACCCTGCCTCTGAAGCCAAACTTGTAGAACAAGCATTTAGAAAAAGAAGGCAAAGAGGAGTGTCCTGCTTCCGAACACCTTTTGGGCCTCTCTCCTCCAGGTAACTTCAGTTTTCTCTCATCTCTCTGCCAAACTCATTACAAAGAAAATAAACTAAAACTTCTCCTGAAGTACAGTGAGTAAACTTTGCTTCTGTTTATAGTTTGAGAGGTGATATAGTTAGTCCTGGAGCATAATCTGAAAATTGTCCTGACTTCTTAAGTGTTTAATAAAAAAAAAAATCCAGATTCAAACTGCAAAAATGCATCAAATAACATATCTGTTTTGGCATCATTTCAAAGAAATTCAAAGCAGTTATCACTGGAGTGAGTGTTTTCAGATGCCAATCTCTGATTTCAGGAAAGCTGTGTTTAGATGTGGATTAGATCATAGTGGGAATAACTTCTGTGGTATTTAAAACACTCTCCTATAGGGAAGATCATGTTGATGGTGGTTGTCAGCAGTGAAGCAATGGGAGTTGTGTGTGGCTGCTTCAGTCAGCTCCACTGCCTTGTGCAGTGACAGCTTCTTTGAGCCCTGTAGCTGTGAGGAGAAGACTTGGAATTCAGCACTAGCTGGAGCAGTTTCATGGAACATTCCTCCCACACCTCCTATTTTCTCTGTTAAAATGTGGGGGAAACAGGAGGAGAATTTTTCAGCTTTTTATTCTGGTTTGTCATTAAAGAAATCTACAATTCCTCACATATTTGGGACCAGAGATGGGAACCAAGGGGTTGGGGAGGGAAGCAACAGGGGAGAAGGGGAAGCAACTGCTCTGTAAGCATATGCAGGGCCAGACTCTTGCCTCTACTTGCATCTTTCTTCTCCTCCCTGTCACTCTCAAAGTCTGACATAGATTCTTTGAGAATGACTTCAAGTTATAAAACTGATCTGCATGTGGCTGAGATCTGAGGACTCTCTGTCAGCAGTGGGTCTAACAATGAAAGGTTCACCCTTCTCTGAAGGCTCCAGTTTCCTTCCGCAAGGAATAACTCAACAGTATTTGGAGCTGGAGTGTTTGTGGGGTCCCTGTGTACCTTTCAGCTCTTCCCAGCAGGACTGCAGTGGGTGGTGTGGAAGAAAGGCTGTCCTTCCTAGAGAATCCTGTACTGGACATAACTCTGGGTCTCTGCTGCTGTCTTGTGGTTAAAATGCATCTGCACTTTTCAACACTATGTTTTGGTGTTTCAGGAGTGCTCCTGCCTCCCCTACTCACCCTGGCCTGCTGTCCCCTCACTCTAGTGGCCTACAGACTCCAGAGTGCCTGTCACGGGAGGGCTCACCCATTCCACACGATCACGACTTTGGGTCAAAGTTAGCCTCAGTTCCAGAGTATCGGTATTCCCAGAGTGCACCCGGTGAGTAGCTCTTGTTCCAGAGGCTGGCTGTTCACTTGCCCCATGTGCCATGCTGAGGACACCCTAGGAAGGCTTCTCCAAGTGCTTTTTGGAGGATCCAGGACTCACTTTCCACTTTGTTATTAGAGACTGATGGTACAAGTACAACTTCAACCCATTTTTCTTACTGCACTTTGAATGAGGGGCAGAATGTGTAGAGACAGCTGACCCAACCTTGAGCTACGTGGCTGTAAAGATCTGACAGCAGAGTAGCACACAGCTCACTGGCTCTCATTTACCAGCCTCTGGATAAGATCAGCTTGGCTACACCAAGCTCTGGTGCTGTGGCCAGGGCCTGGTAAATACCTGCTTGTCATCTGTGCTGACCTGGAGTGTAGCATGAGGTTGGAAGGCAGAGCTCATTAAGGAAAGCTTGGGTTGGGGCGTTTTCTTAATGTTCAGTATGGTTTTATTCACAGAATACAAGATGACAAGTAAGGTTTTTGTACATGAGGGAGAAGTTTCAAGGTGGTATTTTTGAAGCTTTGATTTTTTTTATTTGTTTTTTTCTGCCTCTGTTCCTGCCAGTGCTGAAGCACTGAGTAGACTTGGAAGTGCACAGATGAAATAAATGGAGGTATTTTTGCCTCTCCTTTTCACATGTGCTTCTCTTTTCTATTCAGGATCTCCAGTGAGTGCCCAGCCAGTGATTATGGCTGTTCCTCCCCGACCATCCACCCTGGTGGCCAAACCAGTGGCCTACATGCCAGCATCCATAGTGACTTCTCAGCAGCCTTCGTGCCACGCAATCCACGTCGTTCAGCAAGCTCCCACAGTTACCATGGTCCGAGTGGTGACCTCCTCTGCAAACTCTGCAAATGGATACATCCTCACAAACCAGGGCACAGCAGGAGGAGCTCATGAAGCTGCAGGAGCAGTGTTGGACTTAGCTGCTGACCACCGAGGTAGCGTTTCACCTCCCTTGCTACTCTGCTAATAAGTCTTGAGCAGGCTAGGAGAGAGAGTGGTTGAATATTTTCACTCAGTAGGCACTGAGCCATTAAAAAAGATGTTTCTTCAGGTAAAACCTAAACCAAATGAGAGCTCATCCATTTTTTGTCTCCACCAGAAAGCAGAAAAGCTGTGTTCCCATGTCTCCTGGGGAACAAAACTAACAGACTTTGGAGCCTGAGAAAACATACAGTGCTTAAAATTTGCTTATTACCATAGAATGATCGGAATTGGAGGGTACCTTGAAAATCATCTCATTCCAATCCCCCTGCCATAGTCAGGGACACCTTCCGTTATCCCAGGTTGCTCCAAGCCCCATCCAACCTGGTCTTGGACACTTCAAAAATGTGTCAGCCACAGCTGCTCTGGGCAACCAGTGCCAGGGCCTAACCACCTCCACAGGAAAGAAGTTCTTCCTAATATCTCATCTATACCTGGTCTTCTCAGTTTGAAGCCATTCCCCCTTGTTCTGTCTCTCCATTTTTTTTTGTAATTATCCCCAATACCAATATTATGCCTATATATTGGCTATGAAAGTGTGTGTATTTTCCAGCCAAAAGAGAGAGGCTGGGAAAGGCTGCAACTCTGCTTCAGGATGGCTTTGTAAATAAATGATTGAGCCCTTCTTTTTTACAGGCCTGGATTCCTAGAGGAAAGAATGTGCTTTTGGAAATGCAGGCAGTGCCCCATTAAAGCAATCTTCAAAAACCAGTTAGAACAAAGGCCTTTTTTTTGTCCCTAAGCTGGAAATTCCAGCCTTGAGGGATTTAGTGAGTTAAATATTCTCTTGCTGTGATCTAGACAACACCTTGTCTGCTCCCCATTTCAGAAGGTCTTAGTGCTACGAGGTCAGTATATGTTGTACCAGCAGCAAGGCTGGTTTCTCTGACTGCTTTTATGTGGGCAGTGGGACAGTGGTCCTTCTCTCTAAGGGAAGGAAAAAATGACAAAGAGCTTCCCCTCTTGAAGCAGCAGGACCACTGGCATTTTTAGTTCAGCACTGGTTATCTTGCTTGAGTTTCACTTGCATTCTGTAGAAATTCCTGTCTGGATCCCATACATGTTCCTGAAGCACTAGCAGTTGCAGCTGCCTGTCACCTGCTCCCTTCTTTCATTTACTGGTTCTTGCTGTTACTTGTTCTTTCCCTACTTATCCCACTCATATCCTTTTGTAGTCTCTACTTTCCTTGCTTGATGCATTTTCCTTCCTGAACTCCTTGCTTTCCTTGCCTTTTCTCTCCCCATTCCCATCAGCTTGCCTGCAGGTTTCAGCTCCGTGCTTAGTCCCATATAACTCCACTCTTGTGTGCAAATGTAAAAATGAGAGAGGCCTTCTTTTCCTGCAGGCTAATGAGATTGTGCTTCCTGCCCTCTCTCTTTTGAGACCCACAGAGCCCCTGGGAGAGTGGTTCCTCTCCTTTCCTGCATGCCTGTATTTGTTGCATACCTGCTGAATTAACCCCTTACTTATCCTGGGAAGTGAGAAAAGTGGTTTAGTGCTCTCAAGCAGTTACCTCCGCGTAGGAACTCTGCTGTCCTTTTCCATTTTTCATTTTTCCTCCATCCTGTTTTTTTCCTATACTTCCATAGCAAAAACCTGGCAATTGTAGGAAGACCTCCTTGTAAATCAACCTCCATATAGGCCTGACAGCAAGCTGCTGCAGACTTCTGGCTCCAGGCATTGTTTAAGATCTTAATGCCTTCTCCTGCTGTGTGGTATTGAAAGTCAGGCCAGTTTGTTTGAAATTGCAAAGTAAGCTATGAGATTTGCAGTGCTTGCTGTCCATATCACAGCTGTGATGTGTCAATAAGGGAGGTGCTGCCTTTTTAGGGCAAAGGGTCAAATCGATGGGTTTGATCTTTTGATTTATTTTTTTTTATTTTTTCTTGTGGCTTATATGGTAAGAAAAATGTTCTTAATATTGATAGAGTAAATGTGTAATAGAGATTACTTTGGTCTTTCCAAATACTCATCCCTGACCTTCTGTGGTGCTGAGGTATTGCAATCCTGGTGTATGTATTCCTGCTGAAGTGTAAATGAGAATAAAACCTGCCTCTAAGCCAGGGCAGCGACTGATCCTTGTCTCTTCCGCAGGCATGGACGAGAAGCCAACGATCGCATTTGCCACGATCCCCACAGCCAGCCGTGTTATCCAGACCGTGGCCAGTCAGATGGCCCAGGGTGTCCCTGGGCAGACTGTCACCATCCTGCAGCAGGCAGCTCCGGTGGCCCTGGGCCAGCACCAGCTCCCGGTGCGGGCGGTCACCCAGAATGGCAAACACGCCGTGCCCACCAACAGCATCGCCGGCAGCGCCTACGGTGGGTCTGGCACTGCTCCCCGAGCTCAGCAGCCAGGGTGTAAAGCTGCCAGTGTTTTCTCCTCTTGCTTTCTGTGTATCGAGTTATTCCCTGTGTCCATCTCAAAGGTATTGCAATGCTTCCACTTCTAGGGCTGTCAGTCAGTGGGAGGTTCCTTTCTGTCCACCTCTGCTCCCTTTCCTGGGGGAAAAGCTCTGTTCTCTGCAGAAAAGGCCTGACCTTCCTTTGTGTTATTAGTACTGAGGCTACCACTTGAGGTTATTTGTTGAAAGTGTCAGTGATTCTTGTGGAGAGCCTGTTTTAATTTCTTTTCTTCTGACCAGCTGCCTTTGCTTGCAGCATGCCAAATAGTGAAATTTCCATGGTGGTCTTTAGATCTTGGGAAACATGACTCTGTAGAGTAATAAGAAATAACATACTTTCCCATCTTAAAGTCTTAGAGCCTGAGAGAAACAAGATCTATTTCACCAGGTGAACGAATGTAGGATTTTTGTATACACAGGATGTGTTCTAGTCATTTGTCAAGCATGGTTTTTTGAAACTCCATACAAGCCATGTCTTGGCAGCCTCCTCTTGCTTGCTCTGCACCTCAGATTTTATTAATTTGGGAATGGGAATATCCAGGTTTCTCACAGCTTTTTTCACTGAGAGGCCAAGCAGTTCTGCTGCCTCAGGCTGGTGCTTTTGGGAGTTTGAAATGAAGGGCACTGCTGGGCTTTGGATGCCTTTCATGAGGGTAGGAATGTTTCTACAGAATTTCCTGCCATAACTCTTCACAGTTATCACCTGGCATGCACTTGAATTGCAAGAATCTCATTGGAACTATGAAAATGCGATAGTGATAACGTTTTTATGCAATTATTATAAGATATTAATAGATCAGATAGGTCAAGCATTTGTCTAATATAGAATTACAGTTTTTTATTTACCATTTTTATGTTAAAATATTTTAATTTCACCAAGCTTTATAATTCTCATCGAAGTGGGAAGTATTCCAGTTGCATCTGAGTTTTTTTGTAAGTGGCAGTAAATTTTCTGCTTCACAAAATAAAGCCTGAGTCTCTTGATTCTCATCTGTACTGAGTTAACTTCTCTTCAACTGCATGATTTAAGTTCCCTAAGTCACTAATCTGTAATTGTTGACTGCCCTCATCTTTACCCTCTTTTTTTTCTCTTCATCCTCTTGATACTCTACAGCTTTCTTCTCATGCCTTGGTAGAAGTTACTGGGCTTTGAGGGCCTTTGTTCTGTTGGCTTTGTTTATTTATCCTAGGGCTCCTTTTTTTCATGCATTTAGCAGTGAACACAGCACTGATGTTCAGTCATTCCATCCTTTGCAAATGAGTCTGGAGGGCAGAGGATGTGCTGTTTCCTGAGTCCCCTTTGGCTTCCTCTCTGATTGATGCAGAGTCCAAAAACTGCATGTGTTTTGTTTTCCAAGCAGTGGTGTGTGCCAAAGTCAGTGTGTAAGCACATTCTCTGTCTGGAACTAGGAATTGTAGACATTTTTACAGAGAATCGCTACTTAAATCATCTTTTTTCTTACCACTTTTATTAATGGGAGGGTAAGACCTTGTGTCAGTGCTGCAATACAAGATTGGAAGCCAAAAATTCCTATGTTCTGATCCCAGTTCTGATGGGAATAATGTGGCTGTCTAGGGTAAGGTCTTTCCTGCCCCTTTTACAAGTGGGATGTCAGTACACTCAGTATTTGCATTCTATTTCCCAACAGCCTGGTTTGTTCTTCTTGTGCTAGCAGGGCTCAAGAGAGTCTCCAAACCTCCAGATAAAAGGCCCAGCACATGGATGGTGGAGTTCATGAGAAATTCTCTGGCCACCTACAATCAGAACTACCTCTCAGAGAGATGTGCTGTAATTTTAACTAGAGCTTGATCCTCCCCTGCTGGGGACAAATACTTAGCTAGCAATGCCTTGCTTGGCAGTGGATGGGAAGAGTGGATGGGAAGAAGGAACTTCTCCTGTGAGAGGAGTTGTTGGTTTGGTAAACTTGAAAAGCTGAGGTTGTGGAGGGGGAAAGGGAAGGACAAGGCAAGCCAGGCTTTTCCAAATGCACTGGGAAACAACACTTGTCCGTGTGCCAGCTGTCACATTTGACGGTGGGATTTTGTTTTCCTGCTTTTCTTGGAATAGCAAGGGCTTGTTCTGCTTCACCCCACTAATTCTGCTTCTCATCCTCCTTCCCAGCTCTTACAAATCCACTGCAGCTCCTTGCAGCCCAGGCCAGCTCGTCCACTCCTGTTGTAGTCAGCCGGGTCTGCGAGCCAGGGACCGAAGAGACGGCAGCAGCCTCCTCCAGTGAGCCTGAAGTGAAAAGACCACGGATAGAAGAGCCCAGTGGTGCAGTGCCAGCCCAGACTGGAGTCATCACATCCACAGTGCCACAAGGACAGGCAACCAGTGAATGAAGAACCGGTGGGAGGAGCTGGAGTGATGGCGGGGTGGGCATGGGATGGCAGGAGCCCTAAAGCAGCTTTCACAGGAAACCAACCACAACTGTAACAGCTCAAAACACAGCTGATAAAGAGCTCTTTTTAAAGGCAGATTTTTCAATGGGAGGGCAAGAGCTATTAGAATCACAAGGTGCCAAAAAGAATGGAAAAATCCCTCCCAAGAACCCATATCTGGAACTCTGTTCTGTCTCTACTTACGGGATATTTTTTTCCTTTTTCTCTTTTTTTTTTTTTTTTTTTTTTTTTTTAAGATTCAGAAAAATACAGACAACTGATTGTATGACTGCTGGGATATTTTTAACTGTCTTTTCCCCTTTTGGCTCTGAGGGGATGGAATTTGCAGTTCAGAACCTAAAGGAATGTAATACAAATACAGTCTGCTCCCTGGAAAGAAAACTCCTCACGTTCTATGCCTTAATACCACACTTCTGAGAGCTTTCAACCGTAGGACCATTTTAAAAAGGTCACCTAAGGCAATCAAATGCTGAAAGATGGGTGCAGTATCTCACAACAACATTAAAGAAACATGGTACCAAGCTTAAAAACAAAAGGCAAATTATTCTGTTTTTTTAAAACAGAAAATTCTGAATATAAATGTTTATTTATATGGGGATTCAGGAGGAAGAGTTACAGGGCTCAGCCACCTGGATTTCCAGATGCAATTTCTCTCCGTTCCCTCTGAGGGAGAATAAATAGGATGCCAGAGGAACTGTATTAACTTGGTTCCTGTAAAGATGTTAAAAACAAAGGGGTTTGTATCTTTACAAATAATTTCTTACAATTATTCATCACTTGCTCTGGACAACAGCCAAAGTATCGTGATGCCTGGGGATCACGTGGGGAAAGGTGTCTCCGGGAGGTTCTGTGTGCATTTGATTGATCACAGCTTGTGTGGAGCACCAGCTTTTGCTCAAATTAGCACTATAGTGAAGGCATGGCCACTGTCTTTGTGAACTTGAGAAAATATTGGTTGATGTTCTGCACTAAAGCAGTCTCTCCTGCCTTGAGGACCATTGGGGTTGGGCAGTAGGAGGAGGCCTTTACTCAAACTGTATTCCAGGCTCCTCACGTAGTACAAGGATGTCTTTTGAGGAAGGCAGATTTGACTCACTTCAGCCAATGTGCAGCACTGGGTGCTTGTGACACCTTAAGACTGGCAAAGAAATCCACCCCTGCCTGTAGCCTCCAGCAAACCCCTTTGGCCTTACACCCTTTGCAGTCCCCATGGCTAACATGTCTTCTGGCAGCACAGCAGAGAATTTTTAATTTAGCATTAGCTTTGGTAATGGCAAGGGAGAGTTGGGAGGGGTGAGCTGTGCCTCTGGTGGGTCATCCCCCATCTGTCCTGTGCAGTCTGACAAGGCAGAGAGGCAAAACCCACTGCAGAAACATTGCAGAAAGCCTTCTCCAGTGTGCAGTAAATGATACTGTCAGCATATCCATGGGGATTAGGGGTAAGGCACAGCCCTTCAGTGCCTGCTGGAATCTGGAGAGGAAATCCACAAGGTAACAGCTGGCATCACTTGTTCCCTTCTAGGTTTCCTTTGTCTTTGCCAAATCCTATTCAATAACCAAGTCCCACCACTTGAATAAAACCGAGAAATGTTTAATTCTCAAGTCCATTGTTTTGTGAGAAATATTGCTGAAAGAAGGAAAGAATTTCTTGGTCTCATGATTTGTGGTTACTTCTGTGGAGAGAGACACATAAAATATTCATGACAGATCATTTATCTCAGCTGGGCTTTCAGGATTCAGGTGTGTGCCCTTAGTGACAAGTTATTAGATGGGATTTTAGTGCTTTGAAATGGTTTTGTGAAGGAGGATTGTTGGAGACCACAAAGTAATTGAAGCAGGCTGGCCTCCAGCTGTCCCTTCTCCCGCTAGGAAGGCAAGGTGTGGCGCAGCAGAAAAGCACACGGATTAGCTCTGTTTTCTGTAGCCTTTTCACAGCCAGGAGCCAATAAAATGAACTTCAAGGCAGAAGGCACAAGTGAGAGTGCAGCACAGTCTGTCTGTGATGAATCATTACTTTGGGGTGACTGCTGGTTTAGATACAGGCACGCCTCTGAAACGGCCCCGAGGCTTGGGAGCACTCCGGAAGAGCAAGAGTCCTTGGGTTTCCAGAATGTTGGGTGAGTCAGAGCAAGATGAAAAACCAACAGAAAACTGTTCAGGATGTGGAGCTGCCAAGATTCTGTGGATTTTTATTCACTGATGCTTTTCTCTTGAAGAGTCTAAATAATTAAGCCCTTACCTCTTGTAAACTAATCCAGCACCAAAGATACCAGCTAAGTGACAGTGTTTTCATCCACCATAGAGCTGCTGCTTTATAGATACCTCTTGAAGCTCTGTCCTCAGGTTGCATGGGTAGATTTGCCTCCTGAGTATTTAGAACAGAGTAACACTTTCTTCTTTTCGTGGCTCACAATGCCTGCTGGTTCAAATGGGAGTTGAGGATAAACAAATATCTTTGTTCTGGTCACCTTTTCTGCTTGAGATGTCTGGGACTTGTCAGTTCATCCTGTCAGGGGATTTTTGCTTTATCAGTCTGCTGCATCCCTGTAGGAAGCAGTCCTGCCGCTTGCAGATTTTTTTTTTGTAGGTTTGCCTAAACATTGCCTGGTACCAGGTAAAATAACTGTTCTGGCTAAATCGTGTTGAGAGCTGTGGAAAAGTGTGGTCCTCATCCATTTTACATCTTGTTTCAGGCCTCCAGATGAATTCTTTCAGCACTGCTCAGTCTGGAAGGTAGCACCGTTCTTTTTACATACCAGTCCTGATTCTCCAGACTGCAGAGGCATGAAAATCAATGTAGTGGTAGAATTAAGTCTTCAGCTAGAAAGAAAATGTTTACCTTAATGTTTATAAGCAGTACTTGGATTATTTTAAATTGATAATCTGACTTGTTTTTATTGTCTAAAAAGTTGCATCTCATCCTTGATGATGTTAACTAAAGAAGGTTTCAGGGGAAGTGAAGGTGGAGGCTTCACTGGATTTTCTGCTGTCTGTGTAATGAAGCTCAAGGCATATTGAATATTTAAACTGCCATAACTTAGACCTGGAAAAACTGTAGAGCCAAGTTCTTAATGTGTGAATTCGCTTTCCACCAATTCCTATTGATTTTTTTTTTTTCACCTTAGGCAATGACATTGACTAATTTTACTTTGATCACAGTTAGTTTATAGGAACTTTCTTTGCTCCAGTTTGCAAGAGCTGAATGCAGTTGTTCTTTGTTTTATTCCACCAGAATTCCACTATGTTTGTCTTGACCTTGGCTCTTATGATACTGAAAGCTTTTTAGAGAAAGATGAATTTAATCTGATTTAGTGATAACACAGCACAGTGCTGATCACAAAATTGAAGTTCATGATTAGCTCATATATTCTTTTCAACTCTTTTTCCTTCCCATACTCCTCCCTCCCCCATACCATTAACACTGTCCCCTATAGCATATCCAGTCATTTTTATCCACTGACAGGAGCAGCACCTTGCATTAAGCTCTACCTGAGGACTCAAGGACGAAAATACCTGTGGAATACAAGGAGCTCCAGAGCAGGTTGAGAAAGGTCAATTTGGTTACCTTGTATTAATTTTCATGCAGTGTTCTAGACATGTTACTGTTGGGCAGAGCTTATTCAGGAGAGTGTTTTCAGAGACATGTTAAAGCTTTGTGAGAGGAACAAAGTAACAGCTCAAGCTCTTGCAGTGCTTCTGCCATCAATGTCATGGTCTAGCATCAGATTTTGTGGGGAGTAAACTTGATTTTGCATGTTTGGTCTTGTGTACTGACTTAAGAGTTGTCATTCAGAGTTAATTTCCACTTTTTTTTTTTTCCTTTTTCAGTAGGGAGATGCCCACAATGGAATGAAACTTGGAGCACAGAAGGCTAGGGACCTGTATCTAAGCAAGTGAGAGCATCTGACCTGAGCTCTCATGCAGTGTGGTGTGGAGCACTTTTCCCTGCCTGCTGGGGATGTTCACTTGGTGGTTGAGCTTTTCATCTGTGTTAGCAAGGGGGTATTTATTTGGTGTCACTGGTGTGTGCTAGTGTGTAGGTGAATGTCAAAATGTAGGGTGAAAGGAGAAGTGTTTCCCTGCTATACCTGGGTTTGGGCATCTTGGATGACAAAGTTTTCACTTAGCTGTAGTTCTGTACCTTTCCTTAGAGAATCCACACACAAGGTAAAAACTTCTCAGCAACATAAGAAGAATTCCCCATGCAGCTGCCTTTGTTCCTTGCCTCTGAGGAGAACCCAGCTCTGCCTCCTCTGCATGTTGCAAATAGGTCCAGTAAGATTTTTTCCAATTTGCTTCCTTCTCTTAAGGCTGAACCAGGTTAAGGTTGTCTCGGTCTGTTCTTGTCCATCAGCTGGAATTGCTGCAGGAGGTCACTGTGAGTCTTGTACTGGGGAGCCCAAACACAGAGACAATGCTGCGGACATGATCTGGAGAATGCTGGATGGGTTGGAAGAGAATCATTTTCCTTGGCCTGATAGCTACACTTTTGCCAGTACTGCCCAGTACCTGTTTGGTCTCTTCTGCAAGACAAGTTTAAAATGTAAGGAACAAATCACAGAGTGAACTGGATTTCATTTGTGCAGATGTAACCATGTTGTCCCTCACTTCCAAGGGACAGTCCTAGCTTGGGTCTTTTTGAGCAGGAAGCAGCACTGAAGGATCCTGATCATTTTTAGAGATACCTGTGCTTTATCTTATCAAGTGATAGTTTCAATCCAATGTGGAACTTGCCTTGAGTTTCTACCTGCTTCAAAATCTTTGAGGTTTTTTAGGTCCTGCTGCTAATAAATTGGACTAGGGCATTAAGAATGAACCTCTAAAGGAACAGGACTTGCTTCATAATTCTCCTTAGTTGCACACTGAGTTTTCGAGTTTGTAAATGCCATCCTTCAGTAAATGATCTGTCTTCTCTTGTCAGCCAGTCTCTTGGGTAGCTCCTGTTTCTGCTCCTCATCAGTTTTCCCCCTCTATTTGTCTGTCAACTCCAGAGTCCTTTAATCCAACTCCTAATTTAATTCCATTGCTTGAAGGTCTGCATCTGGCAAGGATTTTTGTGTTGCAGTTACATGAGTAAACAATCTGTTGTAGAACTTTTCGTGTCCTGGGTGAAAAATTAAGCCCTAGCTGCTGCTATTATAGCATACACTACTGCTGGAAAGTGTAGCTTCCAATGGAGCCAGCTGTGCTGCAGAAAACAGTTACACTACAAGGTCATCTGGATTGCTGGAGCTGATGGGGTTGGGAGGCGATGCCTTCTTGCATGTTGATCTGCACCTGATGAAAACGCAGCTGGGGAATCTCTGGGCTGTGATTTGTTATGTGATCAGCATCTCTCTCTGCTGGGTGGGTTGTTTGCAGCTCAGTGCACGTGTTTGTGCATACAGGTGTGGATACATCCCCATGCCATAATCAGCAGTGGGAATTTAATAGCTGTGAGGGTGGGCTTTCTCTGTTAGGGTGTCTTTCATGGGGCAATAATACACCAGGGAGCATTTTACTTTGGCCTGAGCAAGACATTTTGAAAAATACTTGGTTTTCTTGGAGCACTATATTTAAATTCCAAATTTTGAATCAATTTTTGACGTTTGTATTTATATGTTCGGAAAATTCTTTTGATACCTTTTCAATTTACCAACACTGAATTAAAACCTTTCAGAATGTATGGTTGGTCCTCTCCTTATGTGTCACTTTAAGTTTCAGAGCACGAGGGTGGTTGTGCCAAATCTACCCCTTTGCTCTCAAGACAAAAAAAAAAAAACATTGACAATTCATGGGTGGCAGCTAAGGAAGAAACCCTTTAAATATTTTTTTTTTCAGAGAATATTAAATTAGATCTGTGTAAACATGAAATCTATATTTATTAATGTGTGAGTGTGTAAGCGTGTGTGTCAATGTAGATATATAAATGGTCCATGACTATTTCTTTCTCTTAAATGGTACTTACACAGACTTTTATACAGTGTGTTGGTAAATTCCTGTACCAGGCACTGACTCTGAAAGAACGATTAACCTATTTTTGTAATGAATGTGAGCAGCCAGTGGAAGCAGCTTTACTTCAGTGATTGCTTTCATTCCTCTCGCAGAGCAGAAGAGGCAATTTGGTACTTGCATCTTCCTTGTGTAGGATCCCTGCTTCTGGCTTTGTCCTGCTTTCAGCAACCCCAGTCCACCCTGCTTTTCTGGCAAGAAAACCCCCAAATGGCACTAGTGAAAGCTGGAATCCTTTTTTGTCTGCAGTTCTCTCTAGATGCAGTATCAGGGAGTTCTTTACAGATTCTGCTCTGTAAGTAATGGGACCTTATTTCTAACAGAAGAGATTTATGGGTGGTCCATGAGGATGCTGTAAGGCTGAGGAATTCCTCCCTGTCAGGTGGCTAAGCTAACAGTGGGGCACTAGGAAATAGTTTCTTTTCCTCTGTGGTGAGATTATTTTCCTTTTATCATGCTTCTGTCTCTTTGTGGGGTGATGGTGTCTATATCCCCTTAAAAACAAGCACAGAAGAGTTTTTCTAATGTTTCCCTTCACAGGGAGTAAATTTTACTTAACTGGCCAAAGTTCAGGTGTGGTTTAATTCCACAAGGATCACTAAACTCACAGAAGGGTGTATTTTGAACCACTTGGATCTTTTTAGAATAAAAGCAGGTGATATTTGACTAATCCTAATTGCTCTTCCAGAAGCAGAAATTCTCTATGAGGATCTGAGTGGAAGCTTCACCTCAGCAATCACTGGCTGCTGATGGGGCTTCAGGGAGGACAAGGGTTGGTGATAGGAAGAGTGACCAGAATAGGAGCAGTGAAAGGAAGCAGCTTTCCTCCTCATCCAGCAGAAAACAGCCCCTGTGAAACCCAGACTTCCCCTAATATTTTGTTGTTGCCTTGTGTCTGCTGCCAAGTTATGCTGTGATCTGGATCTCTGTCCTGCTTCTACCCCACCTCAGTTTCACTTAAAGCAGTCTGAGGCAGAGCCTTCCTTAAAGCTAAAGGCAACAGTGAGGAGAAATGTCTGGTAGCTGAAGAAAAATGAGATTTAAATGGAGCAGAAAAAGTGAGAATTCCTTCTGTTTCACTGTCTTGCTGCTAAAAGTCTGGTGCAGAACATCCTGATGTTCTGCTGATTTATATGCTGCTCTTGGGAGGTGGGCAGGCTGCTAAGTTGGCTCTGTAGCAATTGAATTACTGTAAACCTGAACTTGCTTAATCTCTCCTTTTTTTCTCCCTCAAATGGACTTGAAGTAGAGGGAACCAGAGTATTGTTTGTAAGATCTTTTTGCTTTAATAGAAAACAGAATGTAAAAAAAGAAAAAAAAAGCAACAAAAGCAAAACCAAACTCATTCAAATACAGTGATACAGAAAATGGCTTTAAAATATGAAAATCTTACAAGACCATATGTTGTGTTGGGTTCTGAACATGCAGTTTGTGCTGGGGAGGCTGGCCTTGTCCAGCCTGCCAGCCAACCTCCACGTAGCCAAAAAGAGCATTTTAAGAGTCTGTAGCTATCCAAAGGACTGTTATCCAAAGGACTGATAAAAGCTGTTTAGGGATAAATCAAAAGCTGTGTGTGAGCAATGGATGGTAAAGCTGGAAATTCAGATCCAACTCTGAATAATTGCTCTTAGTAAAAAACAGATTCAGAAAAATCCGACTCTTCCCCTGTTCTGCAGATGCTCATTCCCACCGAGTCCCCGGGGAAGGCTGGGAGGAGAACCTGAAATACCTCAATGGCTTCACAGAAGGGTTTGCTACAGAGATCTGGGCCAGCCTTACCCCTTTCACCTCGGTTTGGCACTTATTTTATAAAATAAGAAGGTGATTGAAAGGGGAAACTAAAGCCATGCTTGCATTTCAGTTCCTGGTGTTGCCTGTGCAAGACACCTCCAGCCAGATGTTTCGAGGTTTGTGGGGTTGTTTTTTTTTTTTACAGCTGATATCAAAAGTTGTTGTTTTACTTTTTTTTTTTTTTTTGTGACTTGTTTTCGTTATCAGTGCTTTTTAAAAAGCAGGTGTGTATCCCAAGGGGGGAAGCTCCATGTGGGGCAGTGGATGTGAAGTTCATGTTCTTTCTCTGGCCATGTTTGCAGCGCTGCTCCTGTGAGATGTCCAAGGCAGCCGTGGCTCCCACCAGTGTGTGGGATCCTGCATCCGAGGAGCAGGACCTGTGTTTCCACATCAAATGGGATACAGTGGTTTTGTTTGTTTGTTTTTTTAATATAGAGCCATACATTTTTTAAGTAATTTGAGATCTGAATGTGATTTCTAATGTATCAAGAACGTTAATATTTTAAAGCTATAACAAAGGTTTAAATTTCTACTTTTTTTTTTTTTTTTTTTTTCATTTATTTTAACTGTTCTGTTACCTTAATTTGATGTATGTGGTTGGGGAATGTTGCTTCTCCTCTTAGCATTTGTTTCTATAACCAGAAATAAAATTATATATGAAAGAGAAAACGCCCTGAAATTGCTTCGCTGTTTTTGGGTGACAGACTTGGATCCTTCCAGTGTAGCATCATAGGGGAGTTGAGTTTCCTGCAGCAGTGAGGGGACTGTGTTTAATATTTTTTCCTTTTTTTTCTATGTAGGAAGGAAGTGTGTGTCTGCACACCTTGCACTGTTTAGAGTTCAGACACCCCACTTTTGATCCCTTGTCAGTTATTTGGGCAGCTGTTGACTCACAGCAGAGTGAACATATGGACTTGTGTGTTTGAGATCCGTGATGCCTCCCCTGGGGCTTATAAACTGTTCCTCCAGCTTTTGTTTTGTCATGAAGTGAAACATTGTTATTTTGAAAGTTTAACTATTCCAGTGCGTTCCCCTTTAATTTATAATTATTGTTTTCATTTAAACCTGTGAGGAGAGAAAGCAGTACTTTATCTGTCTTGTAGTTAGACTTTTCCTCCTTTGTCCTCCTAATGCACCTACAATTTAAGTTCTGGGTTTATTTTGACTAACATTCTTAGCTCCAGAATTAAATAGGAATATCTTCTAAGGCCTCGACTGACATAAAGTAGCTGTAATTCATAGAATTTTAGAACCACAGAACGGTTTGGGTTGGAAAGAACATTAGAAATCACCTCATTCCAATCCTTGCCATGGGCAGGGACACCTTCCACTATCCCAGGTTGCTCAAAGCCCGTTCCAGCCTGGCCTTGGACACTTCCAGGGATCCAGGGGCAGCCAGAGCTTCTCTGGACACCCTGTGCCAGGGCCTGCCCATCCTCATGGGGAAGAATTTCTTTCCAAAATCCCATCTAACCCTGCCCTCTGAGTTTGAAACCATTCCCCCTTGTCTTGTCACTCCATGCCCTTGTAAAAAGTTTCTCTCCATCTTTCTTGTAGTCTCCCTTCAGTTTTTACAGGGAGGATTTTTTTTAATTGACAAACTAATTAAAAATTTAGTAATAGTACACAGTGAGTAAATATATTCATCCAGAGCCCTTTTTGGGGGGGACATCTTTTAAAATTATCCTATCTTTGGCTCCCCCTGTGCTGCTGCTTTGCTGGCTGATTGCCCAGGCATGATATTAATGAGCTTTAATGCCAGGAGAGCACAGAGCAGGGAATTACCAAAGGGCAAAGTGCCAAGTTCCATCCCCTGGCATCTCCTTGCAGGTTCAGCATGGTGCTGAGAGCTTCAGCCGTGTTAGCAGTCAGGAGAGAAGGTCCTGGTGGATCTTTAACTTCTGGGAGTGCTGAAGACCGGAGCAGCTGGGTTTAACATCTCGTACCTGTTTTGGAAAGCTCTGTTTTATGAACAGGTTGCAGGAAATAAATCGTCTTTTACCATCACACCCTTAGAAGCCCCAAACCCTCATCTCTGCTGTGTAATGATGTTCTCCATAGGTCTGAGTGCCTAGAGCGGGGTGGCCTCGCAGCCAGATTTGTCCTCAGGCTCCTGAGGTGGGGAATGATGACAGCAGCACCTGGAGCAGTCCGTGAGCAGCCACCAGCGAGGATTTTGGTCGCCCCTCGGCTCTGCGAGCCCTCCCGCCGGGCGGAACCTTGGTGCAGCAGCCGCCGCGTGCCCCCGGAGCGGGCGCGGCTGTACCGCCCGCCATGGGGGACGGCTTTGGCCGCGTACCGCGGCGCGGGCCCGGGCGGCGGCGGGGCCGGGATGTTCACGGCGGCTGCCGAGAGCTTCCTCAGGCAGGCGAGGTGCGCCGGGGACACGGGGGGACACGGGGGGACACGGGGCAGAGAAGCGGACCCCGCGGGCCGGGCGGGGGTGCTGGAGGGAGCGGCGCTCCCGGGGCTGAGCGGGGAGCCGGGCGGAGGGGAGGGCGGTGTGTACCAACCCTCCAGCCCCGAGCTTCCCGAGAGGGCCCGGAATCGGGGCCCGGGTTCCTGACAGCCCCGAGTCCCCCGGCAGGGAGATCCAGGACGAGGAGCTGCGGAGATTCGCCGCCCGTGTGTCCGCCCTGCTGCAGGGCCCCGAGCCGGGCCCCGAGGCCGTGGATGGGCTGCAGAGGCTGCACCTCACCGTGGCCGCCACCAAGTACCCCCGCAAGTGAGTGCCCTTGTGTGTCTCGGGTGTTCGGAGGAGCAGAGCGTTACCTTCCTAACCAAAAAGAAAGGAAGGGCGTGGGTTAGGCCTTTAAAAATAACACGCTGCCTTGAAAATCCTGAGTTCAGTTTAACCACAACGCCCCACTTTGCCTTTCACCCCCTTGCTAAGCAGAAGGTGCCCATCTCCTTTTGCAGCAAAATTAACAAGTGTTGGTGTCACTGAACCCTCTGTCGAAGTGCAGTGAGGAGCAGCACTCAGAAATGAAGATGATGAATGGCATTAGTCTCTGTCAAGGGGGATCATCCCAAAGCCGAAAATATGCAGGAAATAAACATCTGGATCTTTTCTCGCCTTGCAGTGATGTTTACTGTGACTCTTGCAGGCTTGATGGCAAGTTTGTGGAGCTGTTGCAGACAGTGCTGTGCTTACCCAAAAGTCCTGAGCAGATCCAGGTGTTATGTGCTGCCATCCTGAGAGAGATGTCACCTTGCCATGATCTTATCCTCTCCTGTGATGAGATTCAAGATACAAAGCTCTTGAGCCTGGTATCCTCCGTCCTTCTGGCTCAGGTAAATGACCTGTCAAGTCAGAGATCTTCCCTTGTCAATATGGATTTGCTCTTTGATTGTTCCCTGCTCCTGAGCTCAAGGAGAGTGAAAATCAATTGGGAATATGTAAGAAAAAGCAGAGGCATTTCCATCTTCATTTAAGGGATCTCATTATTCTACTTTGCATAGGAAAAAAAAGTAGCAAATTTTTGTGTATAGCACTTAACAACAAAATTGCTTAAAATTGTAATGTTTAGACACTGAGGTCCTGGAAGCAAAAAAGAATCCTTCAGAGCTGGCTGCTGGAATAGATTTCAAATCAGGGCTGCTTGAACCTGGGGAGGAAAGAAAAAGATTTTAGGTATTCTTTTTATTCTTCTTATGATATTGGCTTTCATGTTCACATATAAAAAACATACACAGAACCCATAAAACATGTAACTCTGTAAATGCAAATGACACTTCAAAGGTCCAGATTCTCCATGGAGAGAACCAAACATGAGGACCTTCCTACTTCTGAGCACTGCCTAGGGAACAAGCTGGAAACTACTCTTTTTCCTCTCCTTCTTTTACTTTAATTGTACCTATTAAAGTTAAAATATTTTTGTGCAGCTTCTCGTTCTGAGTTTCACTGTGTGCTTAGAAATGGCTCCAGTGTTTGTGACATTCATCTGAGTCTATTTAACTAAAGGAAATGAAACAGGAACCAGCAATGTATTACTTATGTGCTGCCTCACAAAGCTCCTCTCTCCCATATCCAGCCTTGAGACTGTCCTGCAGTTCCCCAATGTAAAAACACACTTAAACAGCCCTATAGTTTGGGATCTGTGAATTCAAATTGCAGAGAATCTCTGTAAAATGTGGTAAAATCCCCTGTGCTATGAGTTCCTTTTTTGTTTGACTTTGGTATTGATGCCTGATGGAGGAGCTTGGTCTCTAGTAATGGTAGATTATCAATCTTTACCTCTGCTTTATTTTTCAGGAAAGTAAGGGTGAAATGGCAGCTGTGGGGCAGCGTGTTGTGAAAGTCCTTGAAAGAAGACTGCCTGAGGGTCAGAGTGCTCGGTTCCTTCTTCCTGTCCTGGCAAATGTCATCAGCCTTTCACCAGAATCTCTAACAGAAGGTAAATCTATAGGAAGGGCTGAGATTGCCACCTGGCTGTGATCTGGGTAGTGATCAGAAGGCTCTCAGTTGGAAACTGCTGTCAAAAGTGACATCTCTGCTACGAGGAAAGGGAACTTACTGGGTGGGATGTATTCCACCACACAGAACTGTGACTGGGCCTTGCAAATCCTGGCCATGGATTTGTATAACAGGATCATGTACTCTAGCTGAGGTCTCCAGATGCAGCAGGAGTGTGAAACTGTAGCTATCCTGAAGAGCATCAAGCAGAGAGAGAGAAACAGAGATGTGGCTGTGCATCAGGTCAAGAGAGCAGCAGAAACAGCTAGAGGTGCTCTTCATCAGAGAGGCAGCACTGCATGGGTAGTGGTGAGTTAACGTAGGAGAGCATCCCAGGCTTAAAATGCTGGGGAGTTGTGAGCAAGAGTGAGTTTCTGCAAGTTTCCTGTGGGGTTTGTGTGCTGGAGAAGCTTTGGGGAGGATGTTAGGCTGGGTGCATGGGCTGGCAGAGCAGGAAGGATCACCTGTCCCAGATTCTATGAGTTCCCAGCGAGGGAGTTGTGCCTTTGGCTGCAAAGCTGAAGCCACACACTGCCTGAATAAAGTGACAGTGTTTTTGCACATTCCTCCTAATAGCAGCTGTGAATGGAGACAAAGGAACAAGCATCTCTTGAGTGATCTGGTAGCAGAGTCCTTGGTTCCAGCACTGACTCCCTGACTGAGGTAGTGTGAGGAGTATGGATATCCACCTTGGGGTACCAATTTCTTTATGGATTGCTGGATCAGAGAGTGAGTGATCCAGGCTGGAGAAAAAGCACAGCAATTGAGGGTTATCAGGGACATATTGCAGAGGCTGCTTCTTTGCCCAATCTAGCAATGACCCTGTCACTTCCCTTGTACAGAGCAGACCAATGTTGTCAGTAAAAAAATGGCTGACTGGCTGAGGTATGCAAGCATTCAGCAAGGAATGGCTCAGCCCTCTGGAGGCTTCTTCTCCAGTCCCAGAACCAAACAGGTGAGTGCTGAGTTGCCATGGTGACCTCGAAAGGGCATTTGTTAGTCTGTTACTTGCTGTTTTGGGTTCCCAGAATTCTTTTGGAATTTCTTTTGGAAAACAGTAGCCTAGAAGTGCTGCTGTTCTTCAGCATTTTTTGTGGGATTGAGACACATGGGAAAGCAAAGTAGGGGGATTTACAGCTCTTAGATTTAGGAGTTCAGCTGTAGAGCCAGAGCTTTGATCCTTGAATTAGTTTTTAGAGAAGAGTATTTTAGT